TGAAATCTCTCTGTTTCTGTTTTCAGGGAACCTTTGCTTTCGCCTTGATCAAGTACTCACCTCTGAAGTACAACAATGAATACGTATACCCATGGTGGGGCAATGGGATAGGCTGGGTCCTGGCTCTATCCTCCATGCTGTGTATTCCTGTGTGGATTGCAGTGAAACTGTACAAAACCCCTGGAACCCTGAGAGAGGTACGTTTTTCTATCTAAAAACTGCATTTCCTTGGTGCAAATAAAAAAGACTAAACAGAGAAACGAAAAATAGGATTACAGATAATTGGGATTGTGTTAAAGCTGCTCTCATAATTTAGTTTCTGTATTGGCAATGGATCACATGATAATGTGTTTGTAAAATGGGTTGCTCTTAGTAACAAATCCACAGAGATGATCACCCAATACTGCAGCTCTTCCAAGGAGCATTTAATCATCATAGCTTATTGCTTTGCTTTCATAGCTTTACGGTCGGGTTCAGCCTCACTGCTCTCTTTCTTTCACTGTAAACACTACCAGCCCAGCACAAAATGGCACATAAACAAAGATAGCAGTGGAGTGGATAGGTGGAGACCCAAACAGAGATCAAAGCAGGGGGAATATTGGACTTTTGTTGGGAGGACAAAGATTGGTACTTCCTGGATAAGCAAATATGTAACTGTTTGCTTCCCCATTAACCTTAACAACTTTATAAAGGTTATACTGTGTCAATATTGTGTTTGGAGCCAGTTTCCCTTTTGATAAATACAAGTCATTAGAGTCATGAACTGTTTGTTTTTTAAGCAACAATTATTAGTCTAGTGATCAGGGACTTTGCCAAATAGCCACAATGCTCCTGGTTAAAAGTGTGTATGCTTCCATGTATTGCATAACTGATCTTGAATAATCTCTTCGATATTGTAAATAATAACAGTTTAATGAGAATGATTGATGTTGGTTACTATATATTGCAGTTAATATGTGGTTTTAAAATGAATAGTCATTGTTTTTTCAAACGCATCACTGACATATAGCAAGTTTTCCTACATTGTATACATCTTCTGTGCACAGCGCCTCGTTTTCTTGACAACTCCTTCCATCGACTTACCGAAGTCGAAGAAGGAGCAGGCGAGGCTGCTGGCCATCTTCGCAGCGGACGGCGACAGCCTCCATCAGAAATCACCTCCCACCAAGGAAGGATACTTCCCCGTTGATGAAAAGGAGTCAAACTGCTAGAGACATGAGGTTTGGTTTCAGAGCCTTGAATGGGGTCAAAGGTCATTCCTTAGCCTTGACACTCTGTCTGGCCCCATCCCAACTTCCCTTCAATACCTCACCAGACACAGCGCAGACTTTAAGAGTCACCTGACCTGTTACTGCTGATCTGCTGCTGGAGCTTTTCTCCTTTGTTAACAGCATGTCAGCATTCTTACTTAAAGAGTAACAATTATTTGGGTACCATCTTGTTGCCAGTAGCAGAGTCATATTTACACTTGAAAATTGCAGCCATTGTTGTTTCACAGTGGCTAAGAATTTACATTGATTGTGTTTGCTTTCTGAGGAAGCCTTTTTTATGTTTAGCTTGTTTGACATTCCAGTTACTTTATTGATTATACCAGCTATCTGTTGCGGAGGTGTCACACGAATAAAAGCTGTGTGTTTGAATGAACTTCTGCATATAGAGTGCAAGCGTGTTTCATCCATAGATTAAATAAAGCTGACAGCTCTGTTTTTACTCTATAAAAAGATTGTTATCATCTCAGGATGTTACATATTTTAATTAAAAAACAAAATCATGCTAATAATAACCAATACTTGAGAAAGCAAGGACATGAAATGTATATTTAGTAGAATTCAACTAATCTTTGCTGTTCAATATGTTTATATTTCTGGTGCAGAACAATGCAGATTTGCATGAATGTTACATGCTTTTTTTCAATATTCAGATTTTTGACATGATTTTAATTTAGTCACTTTTGCCTTATCTCTAATGCATTGAATTGTTTGAACTTAAAATGTGAAGTGCCTGGAGTTGACAGCTGTGCTGCTAATAATATGAACAAAGCACGCTGAGGAGGGTTTTATTCCAAAATGAACATCTCTCTTGTCTTCTCTTTTTCTGCTGTAATGAACCTCTGCATGTGTTTTTTTAGATATTGGAATGAGTATATGATCATGTGCTGCCAATAGGGACTACTTTTACATATATAACTTTTATATACTATGATAAATGATTTTTTATGAATTAATAAAAAACACTTTAATTAAAATATACATTTAAATATATGTATGTATTTTTTGGGACATGGAGTTTGTTATTCAATTCATGCATGATCTTAAATCCTCCTAATATCTCACTTGCTATCAGGTAATATTTTAAAGTATTAGGGGTTTTAGGATACCGTTGTGGAAATGACACTGCTGTTTAAGAAAATGTATTGTTTTACAAACTTTAGATTTAAAGCACAACACATTAAACACATTACTAATTTGCACCATGTATAAAATAAATAAAATAGATATATATTTGAACTTTAGGCAGTTGTGGTGATTGAACAACATTTAAAAGTCTAATGTTTCTTAGAGCCTTTATTCCATTAAAAAAAGGATTTGAAGTATTGTGAGTTTTGCCATCTTAGTGTAATGTATGTTCCATAATGACATACTTTCAATGATTATGGTAGACATGTATAACACAAAAAGTGTAGACAAAACTATGCTGTACACACAATGATGTATGTCTGGACTTGATTTTCATTTGAAATGTTGATGTAAACTTGTTAGAGTCATATATTCATCGGCAGGCTGTGTGTCATTAGCAGGGTTCTTGAATAAAGTAGGACAAATGTTTTCCAAGACAAAACAAATCTGTTGCTTTTAAAGAGGTTATTTATATCCAGTAGTGCTGGGAAATCAGCTTTGAGCTGTCATGTTTTCACATCTCAAGGTGCGGAAATCTCTGGAAAGATTGTGAATTGCTCGGCGTATTCCCTTTTAATCTTCTGACAAGATTCAGTAGTGGCGATGAAATAGAATGTATGTCTCAATTTAACATTTAGTGAAGTATTATAAGCAGAATTCTGGAGTGAAACACTGTGCTTCTGAGAATCAATCATTTGATGTAATAACAGGCAAGACTGTTGCTAAACTAAAATATTAAAAGTTAATGACTTTGTGCACTATTGAATTTAAGATTCAAAAGCCTCAACTACTATTACCAGACTTTCATCAACATTAAACTCTATTTAGTTTAAGTTACACATTTTGATAATTAGGAAGTATATTAAGGACTAATTATTAAATATTTCCTTCAAGAAAGTCAACTATTTAGAAAGTAAATCCACCTACATGGTATGAAAAACTATGCTAATCTCGGTGCTGTTTGATGTTTTCACTGTCATCACAATACAAAAGGATTTAAGGAGGTGTGGATGTTTGTGCTGCAACTCCCTGAGGACAAGATTTCTTCAGCAAGATGACAACAATACAGCAGCCTCCAAAACAAAAGGCAACATGTGGAGGGCCTCTTGTGGGATGAGCAGCTCCGAAAAGTTGAATACTGTTATATTGAATTGTTTCTTGGCTGTTTTTAGATTACAAACAAGAAGAATGATTAAAACTTGTTTTTTTCTGAAAACGTTGCAGTAAAAAAGGACAGACATCCTCTCCTCTGAGCGGTCATTTTAAAGAGACGTCCATTAATGATGACAGGAGGCACAGCAGCCCTCTGTCTGATGGACAGATGTGTTCATGACGACTTATTATTTACTTTTAATTCATTGACAGTGCGGTATAATGAGACAATAACAGGCTACAGATGCGGACATATACACACACATATATATTTATATAAATATATACAATTTCAGAATCAAACAAGTATGAGAGCACTCTCATAATAACGTAACACTATCAGAGACTGGATATATCCCCCCCCCCTCTCTGGTTGCTACAATGGGGAAATTACGGGCTAAAAGTTTTATTTACAAGTATTAAAAGTAAGCAGAGGACACCAAACCAACTGAGACCTGTCAGTCCGCCGCATCTACACACACACAGGGGCGCCGTAAGGGGGTGAAAAGTTAGGACGATTCTAAGGGCCCGTGACTGACAGGGGCCCAAACAATTTTAGAACATTAAGAAAAAAATGTTTAAGTAACCAATGTGATATATTTTCATGGGGCCCAAAATCCCTGAAAAACACACACACACACACACACACACACACACACACACACACACACACACACACACACACACACACACACACACACACACACACACACACACACACACACACACACACACACACACACACACACACACACACACACACACACACACACACACACACACACACGTCTGTACCACACACACCTACAGCTCTTAAAGCATATAATATATATCAGGCTACAGCCATGTGTATTTTATTATGTGAAGCACTAAATGGTTTTAGAAAAATATCGACTCTTTGTTTGTAGATATCTACTAAACTAAAGCATACAAATAAAGAGAGTAATGTAGGCCTGTTATACTGAGTGATATATTATACACACTGCTCTGCTTTCTGCACGGACCTCACAGCTGTTCTCGGGTCACTACCGGAGGACCGAGGAGTCGAGGAGTCCAGGAGGGGAAATTAGAGAAATGAGAAACCTTCTGTGTATCGCTCACTGATTGGACGTCGCAGCGCATGCACTGATCTGATGCTTCTTGACATGAGAGCAGTTTACCAGCGGAATGAAGAAAACACATGAACCTCACGGGAGTCACTCCTCAGTATAATCAGTGTTTTGTTTCAATTAATGTATCATTTAATTAGAAATATCTGTGATATGTCTGAACAACAAAGTGGACAACAATCATTTTATTCATTTATTGGAAACATTTTCATGATCGCTTTTATCGTTTTACATTTTCATTTATTGTCATTTCCATTCAGTCACAGCTGAGGGGCATGAATTCCTTGATTTCACTCGGTTTAAAATCCCTGCCTCCAACCTGCAGCTGGCACATTTGAAAGACATGGCGGAAGAAACACAACACACGTGTAAGTGTCTTTACTTAATGTTATTTGTATGTCTACAACGATACCGTTACGATAATGCAACATCTGTTCACATTTATTTAACCCACAACTCGTATATTTCTGTTATTGAACGCTTTATATTTTCTCAACAATGTTCATGTGAAATGCCCAACTAAAGGCAAGATTTGCAATAAATAACGTGCGTATACCAAGCCCCCAGGAAGTGCGCCGGACTCTGATGAAAATATTCGTGCTGGCCAAACGGCGGTACTACACTTCCTTTTGGTTGCCAGGCCCGGAAACACTTTTTCCCATTGACTTACATGGGGAAAGAGTGGTCTGTAAATCGTTGGATAATTTTTTTTAAACTAAATAAACTACCCAGTATGAACACTTGTATAGCCCTTATTAAAAACATTCGTTCCTCAAGTTGTAAAATGTGCTAATAACGTTATTCTGAGAGTTATTTCCCTCTGCATTATGAACGCGCATCTAACCCACGGGACCGCGCCGCCCGGCACGTTCATGTTACGTGTTCAGCACTACATGCGTTTATCTTTACCCATGGATGCACAATAAGAACGGACCCATATCGCCTTACTGCCAGCCCACGGGGCTGTAATAATGGATATATTGCACATGTTTGCTGTAATTCATCATTTGTAAAATATTATACTACATGGGCTGTATGATTAAATCTTGTACCGTAAATGTTGTATTAAATAAAGTTAATATTACCGACGTAGATTAACGTCCCTGTAGCTTCTTATTGCACTAAGAAGCTTATTGCACTGTATGTATATATATATATATATATACACAGTGCAATAATTCTTTCATGCTAAATGAAGCTCTGTTGCTTGGATATCACTAGATCCTGTTACAGCGTAATATAAAAGTACATAACGATTGATGTGTAAATTAGGATAATTACTAGCTAACCGCTAGCTGCTAACTGCCGCCTCGTTAATATCAAATCTATCATAACAGACATTACCATGCTGTCATGAACGTGCGGTGCTGTTACGTGTACGCAAATTGACGTGCTTGATGTGAACGAGCATTTTGGGGGGCATGGTTAAAGTTGCGCATGCGCTATGAGCGCACATACGGGTACTTCTCAGGCATGCCGGGTAATCTGTGACGTTTCGCTCTCTCAAAAGTTGGGCCATTTTATCATCATGCGCAAATGAGCAACTCTCATAGGAATGAATGAGGCCCCGCCTCCCACGCTGTATCCAGTTCTTATTATACATCCATGGCGTATACTAGTAGGCTACACACATAGCATTCGTTATTTATCGGACATAGTTCGGTTGGAAACCACGTGTTTGTTCATTAAACTACCTGCCACATAAAGACGTAACTAAGGTACCAGCATTCATTTGGCATGCAGTCACAATCTATTTGTAATAAATAATTCAATATATTCAATATATTCAATTCAATAATGAAGCTGTCATTTATATGCTGCAATATGTGAGTGAAATGTTAATGGCTTAAGGTTTCCTTTTGCTGATGTATATAAAATATTTCTCCTTAAACAGGGACGGAGGCCCAAACCAGAGCCCTCGTTAAACACAGGACTGAGAATGAGCACCTGTTCACAGGAAAGAGATACACTGCCAAGAAGGCCTGGGGGTGAGCTACAGTTTTACATCCGTTTTTTGACAATACTGTTTTGCTGCATGTTATGATAATCAATGTAACCACTACTGTGAATGAACCACAGTGAACCTGAGTGTGTCATGGAATTATTATGCATGAAGCATATTGTCAGGAGTAATCACACTTTGCATGCCGGGATGCTATAAGTTTACAAATTGTTTACTCCACAGAGAGGTTCTGCAGAAGATGGGGTTGGAGGAGTTGCTCACTCCCACCCAACTCTCAAACAAGTGGGACAACCTCAAAAGACAATATAAGGTGAGATATTGTATTTCTAGATACATACAATGCAGCTATTTCTATTGTGTCTTCATCTGACTGATACATTCCTTGTTCTCCCCCAGGAGCTGAAAACCCTCCCTACAGGGACGGGGACAGAGGAGGGGGAGGCCACGGCAGCCACATGGTCGTGGTTTCCCCTGATGCATGAGGCCATCGGGAGTCGGCCCTCCATGGAGCCTCTAGTCCTGATGGACTCATGCGTCAGGGAAAATGAGCCTACGGCTGACGTGGCCCCCAGTGGAATTGGCTCTTCATCCAGTGGAGCTGGGGCCACTCCTTGTGGCCAGGCAATTGAGGAAGAGGAGGATCCTGGGCAGCCTGGCACAAGTAGCAGCACCACTACACTTGATGAAGAGCCATCCACCTCTCTCAGTCCCCCGCCTGCCAAGAAGAACAGGGCAAGTAGGGGGGCCCTCATAGAATTTCTGAAAGAGGAGGCCAAACGAGAGCAGGAACGTTTTGAGGCCACTCACGCTAACAACACAAGGCTGTTAGATTTATTTGAGCAATTTATAAATAAATGATTTTGTTTCTAAGTTTTTGCAACGTTTTTATTGTTCCATTTTCATACACTTTGTTTGTCAAACCAGTTTTCATTTATTTGTTAAACATGTTGTCACAACACAATAAACCGCGAATGAAGGCACACAGCTTTTCACACAGTGTGGTGCCCAAGGCCTTCGTGTCCTCAAGTCCTACAAATAATCATGGTCTTGAAGTTCAACTGGGTGCACACGTGGAGCAGAGAGCAGCCCTGCCAGTCGGTCTCGCTGGCCATGTCGACATCAAAGGCCCGGGACACCACACTGTACGACAAGCCGTGTGCCAACCAATAAATGATAATTAAAATATTTACCTCATGTGACCAGCCTTGTGTGTTCTTTGATGGCAGGATCCTCAGCAGGGCCTCCAGTGACTGGCGCCCCAGTCTGTAGTCCTGCATGAGGTCCTTCTGGCCATCAAAGAACACAGCAAGGACTGGCACATGAGGGTTTAAAATGGCTTGGATGGGATCGACATCCATCTGCAAAATAAAGATACCCGTTACCTTCAGCACCTAGCTTTTACTAATATCCGACAATTAATTGATCTTACATTAAATTGCTGTTGTTGGTGAAACCATTCATACTGCACCAGACTAGTGTGATGCTTACCTCTATTAAACAAATAGCCTGTTATCGTGCCCGACGGCGCCTGGACTGCTCCTGCATTATGTAGGCCTACTGCAGTAATGCACGCAATGGCATCAGACATCTTGCGTTTGGTAAGGTTGAACCTCTTTCTATCCGAAACTTATATAGGCCTGGTACCTTCTTCCTAAATGACCTTCATGGGTTTCAGCTGGTAGTTTGTCACTGACCTGATTAGCTTTTCATTCAGCTGCCAAACCGCAGTCATTAAGTACTATTTAAAATGTTAATTTGCTACATATCCACACGAACAAAGTGTGCAATCCAATTCATGTTAATCTAACTGGGTTTTGATAGATAACATGTCTCTTTCCTCTCTTCACGTGACGCTCCGGAGGAAAGGACGTCCCATTGCTCTTAAAACAAATGTTCCTGCTTCTTCTCCCTTCTCGTGGTTTCCTTGCGTCTCTCCATGCTTCCCTGGTGGCCGGGAGATACTAAGACGCAAGGAAAAGACGCAAGTGAAGGACGCAAGGATTGCATTTAACAGAAGTGAGATGCAGCCTGTGTATCCTCGGTTATAGCTCCTCCAGAGAGCCTCCTCGATGCTCGATCCTCGGTCCTCTGAGTGCATTTAGAGAAATTAGATGTCCTTCAACATTGCGCGCTGAAATCCATTTCCGGGTCACTACCGGAGGCCCGAGGAGTCGAGGAGGGGAAATTAGAGAAATTAGAGAAATGAGAAACCTTCATTGACACATTTCATTTCTTCAGTCCCACAAATAGTATCCATTATGAGTATTGCTCAGAACCTGGCTTACTTGAATGCATCTCATCTCTTCAAACATGCCATTAAATCTACAATAAGTACCTCATGCACTCAGTCCAAATTTACAGAGTGCATGTTCGGAAATTGCAATATTTCAAACATTCAACATAAATAATTCAAAAACCAAGAGTCTGAATTATGTATTGCAATATTCTCTAGATAGATCGTACTGTGTCAAATTCATTAATGAGTTTTATTGTAATTAGTGTAATAATACTTCATGAAAAGTATCAGTCCTGCATTTAAAATTGTATTTCGTAAAGTTAGAGAAGTAACACTATCAACAATGTTATCCTACTGAAAGTCATATGCAGACACTATCTACTGTCATTATTCTATTATCACCTTTATATATACAGTCTATGATTATCATGTTATTGGCTTAATATTCTGATTCATAAACATGTATGCACATTTTAATCTTGCAGCTGATTGAATCGGAGGTCATTTTGATTACTTATTTATAATGTTTGGGATGTTTAACCATAACACATTCTCATATTTTAGTCATTTGTTCTGGATACAGGATCCTAATCTGCATCACAAACTACTAAAGCTGAGAGAAAGGTAGTGGGGAGGAAATTATCCGGATCTTTTAATCTGAAATGTAAGTGAATAAATAGTAAGTATTAACTAGAAGTAGCAGGATATTTAAATACTAAATGTATGTACCTATACAGCATGTCCAAATTATACGTAAGGTCCATTTAACCATTGTTTTATTTTAACAAAAGATATGATTTAATAAAAACAATTGTATTAAACGTCTGCCGCAACGTTTTGGTGGTGCAAGTGGACACCAATAATATGCAAACGTTTTTTTCTTATTTTTTATAACCTTTATTAATCAAGATTCATTTACACATGTCATGCTTTTCCGGTTATTACCCGTCCCTTTGTGTGTTATGTAGCTTTTTATGCATGTAAACGGTCTGCAGAGTCACAAACCCTCAAAGTACACCCCTAGCGAGTAAAACTCTAACACAGAAAAGACCTGTCTATGCTGCCCCAGAACGCCTCGTTGGGGATTTCTCTTTTTCCATTGTTTACTTCTTGGGTATAGTGACGTATTTCGGGTATAGTGACGTAACGTAACGTAACGGCGTACGTTACGTCTGCGGAGCCGTTACGTGTGGACCAATCCGCGGACTTCCTCACACACACACACACACTCGGCGGGACGTTGCGAGGCTCGCCGCTGCGAGGAGCGGGACACTGTGAGCTGGCTCACTGGTGTGGGGTCGGCGAGACAGCGAGACACCGCGGAACTCAGCGTGGGCACACACACAAACTCCCAGCCAGGCTGTGGGTGTGTGTGTGTTTCGGGCTGAGTTTCGCTGTGTCTCGCTGTCTCGCAGACGGCCACTGGGCTCACAGGGAGGGGGGGGGGCAGGAGCTCCAACAAGCCGTGTAGGACAGAGAGTGAATACACATACTATACAGAGATGCTGTATGAGAAACCAATGTGAGTTTGGAAAATTGCACAATATAAATGTATTCTAGTAGACTTCAACAATGGAATTATGATCAGTAGAAATGGCCATGACATGGGAGCTTTAAGGCACTTATTTTCAGTCAATGGTACAAATACAGTATATATAAAATAAAAATAAACAGTAAACATCTTGTAAAACATCTTACAAAATGTATTTCATTACAAACAAAAAAAACAGCAATCATTAACAACAGAGTAAAGGTCAATCATGAGAAAAGTTTTCGGGCGTTTCTTTCCTTTATGTTATGGAGTGACTTTGCCAAAAATGTTAAGTGCGTTCTTCCATCCAGAGGAGGGGTGCTTAAACTTTAGATATTTGCATTTATGTCTGAATTGCTTGCTAAATAATGTGTAAAAGTGCCCAGACGTGGCTTGTCTGTCTGTATCATGGTTCCCCAGCAGGGGTCGCTGTCGCCATTATTCTGAATCGCTCACTGTTTACGGAAGTCCAAGTGACGTGTCACTGTCCACCGGAGCATTGTGGGAAGGAAAGTGGAGCTGTCGGTTGCTGATGGCAGACTGCTCAATTCGCCCAATATCCTCGATTAATGAGCATCCTTAAACAGAGATAAAGAGGAAGATAATGCTACTTACCGAACCTAATGTCACCGGGCTTTGAAGAACCGGTGTCATCGCTGCTCTCGTGCGCACAGGCGCGTAAAGCTGAGGATACTAAGTCAATGGTCTTTATTTTATTTTCCAAGGCAGCAGAATAAAGTAGCGACGGATTATACTCCCGCTGTGGATGGGTAGGGGGGCGACTGCTCTCCTGCATTCATTACCCTTTGAAGTTTCCTGATTATATTTGTCGAAGACGCCGTCAAAGATGTCGACCAGCAGCCCCGAAGCGGTGAAGAAATTGCTGGAGAACATGCAGACGGACCTGCGCTCTCTGTCCATGGAGTGCAAGAAGAAATTCCCCCCAGTCAAAGAGGTGAGGCTAGTTAGCTTCACTGAGCCGCTACCTTACTGTTTAGCAGCATGTCTCGTGTGTGTATATGATTTTGTGTTTGTTATAATGCATGTTTGAGCACGTTTCCCCACCAAACACTGGGCCTTCAGGACGTGGACACTGTGTTATCCTCATACTGTGGTGGGGAAATTAAGAGTCAGCTGCTGGGCCTTCCTGTCAACCAGGCGTCCAATTAAAGGGACATACAGGTGTTTAAGTTGACACGTTTCACTTATTTTCGTTAGGCCTAATATGAATTATTCCTACCGTGAAGGTTGTTGAATATCTTAACTTTTAGGAGTTATAGATTCAAGATTAAAGGTGTGTTATATGTACAGTAGCAACAGTGTAGTTATGGCAATGAAGGCTCCTTCAACAATGCATCATGAATATATGTTAGACATCAAACAATTAAACAATAACATAGGACAAAAAGAAACAGAATAGAAATAAAATTGTGGTAAAAAATAGTTACGTTTTTCATTCCCCTATGTATTGCAGTAGGCACATTACTGTTCAGATATTACAGATTATATCCACCATATATTATCTTGTTAAAGTGTAAAATAATCCAAATTACACATTACACACATATTTCCACGCATTGGCATCAGGGTCTTTCAATGATCCTAAATACCATATGTTACTCATATTCCAATGTTTTTACCACCTTACACATTTCCATTTCCATTCAACCCTGTTGTAAAGGATGACTTAAGAAGTTAAGTCAAGTGCACATTACCCTGAAAGTCTGTGCTCACAAACAGGAATGTATACCTCAGACTAAAACCAAAACATTTAGCTTTGCCAGATAAATACCCTAAGTCAGGACCACCTGGTTTTATTTTAATACAGCACTGCAGTAGACACACAGTAGGTTTTTATATTTTCAGCAAATTGTTTTGTTTTTGAAATATGTCATTGGAGACTTCTATTTGGCGTGAATAGTCAGTCTAAGATCTCATATCTTAAATTGGCTTCCCAACAAGCTGGCCAGTATTGACACAGCCAAAGGCGATTTCAAGCTGCGTTTTGTTTTTTTATATTCCTTGGATTGAGTTACTGTTTACGACTGCTGACTGGCTTCCTTGTGTAGCACTGTGACATCATGGCTTAGTTTTAAGAACCGAATAGTACAAGGAGGTGCAATGTGAGGGCTTTCTACAGTTTACTGTCCGATTCGACAACAGTCAACCGTTTATGACTTCAACTTGCCTTAAAGAACCCTGGCCTTCAGCGGTCCACAGGTCAACGTTAACTTACATCTGTTATTGAATGCCTTTTTCACCTTTAACTAAATGACTAAAAGATCAACAAATAATTCAGAGGCAGGTGTCATACAATACTGAATAAACAAAACATCCATTCACTCTCCACGTAGCATTTTATAAGAGTGTGGACACAGAGATGCTATTAGATATATTTTGTAATGTTTTGTAAGGCATCGCACATGAGTTACAAATATAATTCAATAAACAGTAAATACATTTCAACAGAAGAACAATAAATAGCTACAGAATATCTATAGA